CCATCGAAGCAGCTTGGCAAAAAAGGTGATCCAAAGGCCTCTTTTACTAATAAGTTGGGGAATATTAATTACAAAGAAAATTTGTTTGTAGCTTCCCATACGCCATCAGCCTTAGCTCAAAGCTGTGATAAGAGGGGTGGTGGGTCAAGTGCTTCTCTTCATGATGAATCCAGCGAGAGTCCCAGTAACTTTGGAGATGAAGGTGCCCCCAGAATTCGAATCTTTCATCGACTACCAGACGGAGGGCCCAACGATGGTGAGTGTCCATCCATTGGCAGACAAGGTAAATCTTGTGGTAACCACGTTTCTTCCCCCTGCTCACAGAATTCCGGAGATGATCATGCTATTCCGATTTCCGTTCCAGATGAACAGGACGATGAAGGCTCTCAGAGAGGTATATCTCAGAATGTTGCTTAACGTTCCATTGAACGTGTTTGATAGTTTCCCAATTTTTCCAGAATTTAATATGTCTATTAAAGTTATGATTTGGAATGTTCAAGGAGTGGGGAATAAGTTAACGATTATTCGTGAATTGATTAGAATCAATGACCCTACGGTTTTGGTTTTGGTGGAAACCCATATGAGTGGTGATCAAGCTACTCAAATCTGTAATTCTATTGGTTTTTCTGGTCAATTACGTGTCGAGGCTCAAGGGTTTCGAGGTGGAATTTGGCTTTTTGGAGGGTGGAGAATGTTGGTGTTACCCCTTACGGGGAACACTCACAACACCTTACTGTTGAAATTTCGAAGGTGGGAGATACCCCTTGGTTGTTCTCTGCTATATATGCGAGTCCTGACAATTCTATTAGAAGAGAGTTATGGGAAGAGTTAGAAAAAATTAAAGAGAACTACTCTGGGCCATGGTTGTTGGGTGGCGATTTTAATGAAACTATGAATATGGAGGAAAGGAATGGTGTAGGTGGCTCGGAGATGCAAAGAAGGTGTAGGGATTTTTCAAATTGGGTGGAGAATAATGAGTTAATTGATTTGGGTTGCTCGGGCCCTAGTCACACTTGGTTTAGAGGAAATTCTCCTGAGACCTTCAAATCGGCTCGATTAGATAGGGGCATTGCAAATGAAGCTTGGAAAATGAAGTTTGTTGAAGCTGCTGTCCGCAATTTGCCAAAATCGCAATCAGACCATTGTCCTATTCTCATTAGCACTACAGGTTTTGCTCCCCTTCCCGCGGCTTTGAAACCATTTAGATTCCAAGCGAGGTGGTTGAATAACCAAAAATTTTCTGAGTTCGTGCATAAGAACTGGGACAGTACAGCTCCTATTGTCCCTTTTTTGAGAAATTTTGCTGATAAATTGTGTACTTGGAGCAAGGAGGAGTATTATAATATTTTCAGAAAAAAGTCGGAATTATGGGCGAGACTAGAGGGTATTCAAGCTGAATTGTCTTGCGGTAGACAACGTCATCTTGTTAAACTTGAAGCGAAATTGAGAAAAGAACTTGATGATGTCTTGATTGAGGAAGAAATTTTGTGGTTCCAAAAATCTCGATTGGAGGCTATTTGCGACGGTGATCGCAACACTAGATATTTTCATATATCTACAGTCATCAGGCGCAAGAAGAATAGAATTGAGACTCTCCAAAACAGTGAAAGGGTTTGGATAACCGATGATATTGCTGTGAAAAAATTGGTGATTGATTATTGGGAAAACTTGTTCAAGGCAGAAGGTAATTCCTATGATCGAGTCTCGTTACTGTGGGATTACTTTCCAGAACTTGAGTAACATGACATGGAACAAGTGACGAGGTCGTTTAGCTCTTGTGAAGTGGTGGCTGCATTAAAAAGCATGAAGTCGTTCAAGGCCCCAGGCCCCGATGGTTTTCAACCAATTTTTTACAAGACTTTTTGGCCTTTAGTCGAACCAAATGTGGTTCAATTGGTTCGACAGATCCTAGATGGTGAAGAGTTTCCTAACGGATTTAATGATGCATTCTTGGTATTGATTCCGAAGATGGATGTTCCTCAAAAGGCTAACCATTTTCGCCCGATTGGATTATGTAACATCATCTACAAGATTGTTACAAAAGTCATTGTGAATAGGTTAAAGCCAGTGCTCCCTAAGCTAATTTCTACTACTCAATGCTCTTTCGTCCCTAAGCGTCAGATCACAGATAATGTGATAATTGTGCAAGAAATGTTGCATACAATGAGGAACAAGAAGGGTAGAGATGGTTTTATGGCTATAAAGATCGATTTTGAGAAGGCGTACGATCGTCTTCGTTAGTCGTTTATTAAGGAGTCTTTGAGTGAGCTTCGTCTTCCGATACATATTGTTGATGTTGTAATGAAATGTATATCTTCGATGAACCTGAGGATTTTGTGGAATGGTGAACCAACAGACTTCTTCAAACCATCTCGAGGCATTCGTCAAGGGGACCCTTTATCTCCGTATTTATATGTGGTTTGTATGGAGCGTCTAGCCCATTTAATTGAGAGGGAGGTAAATTTAGGTGCTTGGGTTCCGATTCGTGCAAGCAGGAATGGGCCACCCATCTCTAATCTTGCCTTCGCCGATGATTTGATCTTATTTGGTCATGCTTCTGTTGCTCAAGCCGAAGTTGTTATGCACTGCTTAAATCAATTTTGCAAGGCCTCAGGTAGTAAGGTGAGCATTGATAAGTCGAGGGTATACTTTTCTCAAAATACCAATCTGGAAATTCGAGAAGCTATTTGCTCTACTCTTGGTATGGAGGAAACGTATGATTTTGGAAGTATCTTGGAGTGCCTACAATTAATGGTAGGACCTCGAAAAGAGATTACCAATATCTTGTTGATCGTATAAATGGAAAATTGTCAGGTTGGAAAACTCGTACTTTGTCCATGGCTGGCCGTATGACTTTGATTCAATCTACCTTGAATGCGATTCCTTTTTATACTATGAAGTCAACCAAGCTTCCAAGATCGACTTGTGATGACATAGATAGAAAAGCAAGGAAGTTCTTATGGAAAGAAGATGATGATAATCGCAAGGTCCACTTGGTAGCTTGAGATAAAATAACAATACCTAAGCAAGCTGGAGGGTTAGGCCTTCGAAATATGCGGCAATCTAACAAAGCTTTTCTTGCTAAGTTAGGTTGGAGATTATTGGCTGAGCCAAACTCCCTTTGGTCTCGAGTTTTGAGGGCAAATACTGCAACAATCGTTGTGACATTGACATGTTTAAAGACAAAGGGAATTCTTCGAATGCTTGGCGTGGCATAATGAGTAGTATAGATGTGGTTAGAAAGGGCTTGAACATGGCAGTTGGCAATGGTGGGCGCACCTTTTTTTGGCACCATCGATGGGCTTGTGAGGAGCCCTTGTTAAATTATGCTAGTGAAGAACCTCCATTAGAGTTGCAGGACTGCACGGTTCGAGAGATGTGGGATAAAGAGGTGGGATGGAAGCTTGAGGAATTTGCATATTTTCTCCCTGAAGATGTGCTAAAGGAAATTGCGGCACACGAGTTGGTAGAGGATAAAGAAGCTATTGATGAGGTATCCTGGAATGGTTCGAATTCGGGGGGCTTCACCTTAGCTCAGCCTTGAATATTGTGCGCGAAATTGATGGCGTAATGGATGAAGAAAAGAATGGTTGGATGGAGATTTGGAAACTTAATATCCCACAAAGAATTAGATTCTTTGTCTGGATGGCCATACAGGACAGATTGATGACCAATGTTGCGAGGTTTGTTCGAACTCTCACTAGTGATCCGAGGTGTCAGTTTTGTGGTGCAGCAGAGGAGAATGTCTACCATATTCTTAGATTTTTCCCTGCTGCAAGAGGGCTTTGGTCGAAGCTGGGCATTAAAGCTAGCAATATGCTCGATACTTTATCCTTGGAAAAGTGGATGCTTCTCAATCTTGATGCAAAGAAAGCATATATGGAAAGTGAATGGCCCAAGATCTTTGCTATTAGTTGCTGGTGGCTTTGGAAGTGGCGTAATGCCAAGACTTTTCAGGATGTTCCAAACATTCCTATTGACCAAGTAGGATTTGTACTTGCGCGAGTTGGTGACATTAAGAGAGCTATGGCAAGAGACTTATTTCAAGAAAAGGATGGCAAGAAAGTGCGCATAGAGAAGCTTGTGAAGTGGCAACATCCAAAGGAAGGCTGGGTTCGATTGAACACAGATGGAGCCTCGAAAGGCAACCCAGGGGAGGCTGGTGCTGGGGGAATTATTCGTGGTCATAGAGGAGAGGTTTTTGAGGTATTTGCGGTTAATTGTGGAAGATGCACTTGTACTAGAGCTGAATTAATTGGAGTGCTTCGAGGGCTTGGGCTAGCATGGGATGGTGGGCATCGTAAGATTCAGATTTCGGTAGATTCTGAAATTGTTGTTCGAATGTTGGTTGAGGATCCTCCGACCAACTCTCCTTTTATTCACATCATTCGTCGGTGTAAAGCTCTCATTTCTCATCGAGATTGGGAGGTTACCATCTCTCACTGCTATAGGGAATCTAACAGGGCAGCGGACTGGTCAGCGAACTATGGGGTGACTGCGACTGAGAAGGTTACCATCTTTGAGGCGATCCCGAAGGATCTTCGTGCTATTTTATTGGAGGACCTCAGTGGAGTAGCGTGGTCGAGAATGGTGCCGGAGAATTAATTTAGACTTAGTCTTTTTAATTCTGTTTTAGGTGTTTGGTTTGTTTTTGTTTCTTCCTGTTTTCGTTGTTTCTTTTTTGGGGCTTGCCCCTCTTTTTCACCAAAAAAAAAAAATAGCTAGCAAAATATTACATGATACTAGGATTATACATGAGAGTGATAAGACATAAGAAATATTTACAAGCTACTAGCAAACAAAACTATATAAAGCTCATACCATGCAAACTACTCTTTCATATTTAATTTTCTCTTCACTGTAATTTAAGTCCACAGATTTATATTCAAGATCAAATGAGAAATATATAAAACTCACATCATGCAAAACACTAGGGAAACCTCTATGAGCAATACTCTAGTCTCATAGGGTGCTATCTTATTCATATAGCTAGCAAAATATTACATGACATAAGACTGGATAATACACAAGATAGACATAAGCAAAATGTACTAGGTACTATGAAACAAAAAGGTATGAAGCTTTGTGTTGACCTCCTCACTCTTTTTTTCGGCCTCGTTGTCTTTCCAAAAGTCTCCATAAACCAATCATGATATCGATCAGCTACATATATCTTCCCAATGACATAGCCAATTATAAATCCACTTACACACCCCAACGATCTGATGATCCAATCAATCAGCTTAGTATCCTCTTCATCATTTGTTGCTTTTTGTGGAGGTGATGATGGAATGGAGTCTTTCTTGCATTTCTGAGACAATGGAGCTCCACACAATGCCAAGTTTCCAGCAAAAGAACTATTGTCAAAAGTATTAAATTGTTCTCCTTCAGGTATTGGTCCAACTAGACGATTGTGTGATACATTGAAGACCTCAAGAAAGTTAAGCACTATCAACTCCCTAGGGATCACTCCTGAAAGCTTGTTTTGAGAAAGGTCTAAGGACTCGAGGTCTTTAATGTTGGCTAGAAAAGATGGGATACCACCAACAAGATTATTGTTGGATAGATTTAGTGCTTGAAGTCCTCTAAGATTTCCAATTATCATAGGGATTCTACCAGTAAATTTATTGCTTGAGAAATCAATCATTCGCAATACAGTCAATATCTTTGTGTAAAACGTTTCACTCCCCTTATTTGTAATAGTGACAACGTAATTGTATTTCTCACCATAGAACCCATAGTCATTATACCCAATCCTAAAATAAAACCTAAAAAAAGAGTTGGATGAGTTTGACAACTTTTCAGTTGAAACTGTCATTGCAACCAAACTTTGAAGATAACTAGATGGTAAGTTACCAGATAGATAATTACATGACAAGTCAAATATACGCAAGTGATGAAAATCATGCACCGTTGGACTAAGAAATGGAGTTGTTATCTTCCCATGAAAATGGTTATGCCTCATGACAAGAACTTGCAACTTGGGAAGGCTTCTTAACCACAATGGAAAAGTGTCATTAATACGATTTCTTCCTATGTCAAGTACCTCAAGCAAAGTACAATTGACTAAGGACTTCGGGAGCTTTCCCTCAAATCGATTTTTGCTTAAATTGATCATTTTTAAATTGCATGATTTTGGAAACATTTGAGGAATGGAACCACTAAATTTATTGCCTTGCATGTTTAATACTTGCAATGAATCACTAAGCTGATGACTAATGCAACTTGGAATCTTGCCCATAAGATTGTTTTTAGATAAGTCAAGGTAAACCAAAGATGTAGCTTGACATATATTACTAGGAAGAACTCCATCAAATTGATTGTTTGAGACTTGATAAACTTGTGTCGAGCTTGGAGGAGTTGGAAGTTGCCCTCTTAACTTGTTGTCATTGAGATCCAGCATTTGCAAATTATACCATGGGATGAAAACTAAAGGTTGTTCAAAACCCGTTAAAAGATTATTCGAAAGGTTCAAGATCAAGAGATTCTCTCTAGTTGTGTTTACAAACCATTGTGGAATATCACCTTTGATTTTGTTCCCTGAGAGAGATAATACTTTTAGCTCACCTTGAGAATGTAGGAACTCTGGGAATTCAGTCAAGTTGCATGAATCAAGATCTAGAATCTCTAACTGTAATAGAGATGAATTGGTGTTTAGATCTCGAGGAAAGGTTAAGCTAACACCAGTCAACATTAAATTACGGAGATTTGGGAGTTTCAAAAATGAATCAAATTTGGCAACTGAGTCCCTAAATGACATTAATAATGTGCTAAGATTCACAAGTTTAGAAATCCAGGGTGGGATTGGACCTTGAAACTGATTACCATATAGCTCTAAGGTGTGTAATTGAGTTAGGTTTACAAACCAACTTGGTAGTGTGCCTGTTAACAAGTTTTTGCTAAGATCCAAAAAAGTGAGCCTAGTAGAGTTACACAAAGGTAAAATGTCATTGCCTAAATTCATTTGGCTAAGGCATAGCTGAGTGAGTGAGTTTAGCTTAGGCAACCAAGATTTCAATATTCTAGCATTCCCAACATTCGGCATGTCTGAAAGACTTAAGAAAGTAAGGCTCAATAAGTTCATGATAGAATCAGGAAGATCATTGCTGAAATAATTGCGGGCTAGGTTTAGAACGGTGAGATTTGTCAAATTACCTATTGAAGATGGAATTTTTCCATAGAATTCACTTTCTTGCAAGTCCAATTCAGTCAAAGAAACAAGATTTCCAAGCGTTGCTGGCAACTCTCCTGAAAATTTTGTTCCATCAACGTATAATATACGAAGAGGACTATTAGAATAAAATTCAGGAATATATCCTCCTAATTTAGGATTGAAAGTCAATGACACTACTTCAAGATTTGGTAAGTGGAAAATATTTGTTGGGAATTCACCCAACAAATTGCAGTAGTTCATTGAAATAGCCTTCAAAGAAGTTCTGTATCTTAACATGAGAGGTACCTCAGATGATACATCAACCCTATCTAGATAAAGATGGGTTAAACTACTCAAATTATAAACCAACTTCTTTAGACTCAAATCATTAAGTTTCAAATCTAACTCCTCATTGACAACCATAGGATTGCCATTAAAGGAAAGATCAAGAAGAGAAAGACGGGACAATGTCGAAATTGCTAATGGTATTTGGCCACTAAAAACTGACCTTGAGAGATTGAGATGTGTGAGCTTGTATAGACGACCAATGTCAGAGGGGATTTGAGAATAATTGAAGTTATTATAAGAAAGATCTAGCTCACGGAGATGACTAAGGCTGAAAAGGGTGGTGTTGTGAGGGAAGGTGCCGTAAAGGCAACTACTACTAAGGTCGAGGCCAATGACATGACCCGTCTTCTCATTGCACTTGACACCATCCCACCTACAACAATCACCACTTATAGTTGCATTTTCCAAATGATATGATTTATCATGCCATGATTTCACCTTTGGATATGCAAAAGCAACATGAGATGATTCAGGGCAATCAAGACTTAAGCTTTTCTTAAAATGAAGCAATGCAACCTTCTCATGATCATGGCACAATGGTTTCGATTGCTGCAAGGAAGGGAGATTAGAATTAGCAACTACTAGAAAATTGATAAAAGGTAATGGAAAATTTATGATTACTAGAAGCATGTATTTTAAGCATCCGAAACCCATTTTGATAAAATTGTATATCTGATTTTGTGAGTGAGGGATTTTTTTTTTACTGGTACATAACAACAGAGATGAGAGTAGCTTTTATAGCCATAGACGGTCACTTGGTTGAATGTACATATGGTGATCATGATACTTGAAGCTAAGGATCAAAAGTCTACTAACGGGAAAGACGGGGCTTAGCATTTGTCAAAAAATTAAACAATGATGATGACTTCTTTTTAGAGATGACAATAGTACAAGTTCGACATTTATTTACAAAGGAACTAGAATCGTAAATCCTCTAATCTTTTTTTGATTTCCACTAATATATATATTCAAAGAAAGTAACATCATTGACTAGGCTGCATCATTAGCTACTTTTGTTAAACATGCTTGTACATACTTCCCTCTGATTTAAAAATATAAACCTCAATCTTTCTGAAACAGTTTTTTCTATCCATATTTAAGGCAATAAAATTCCTTGTATATATCTAATCGCTTACAAAAGTTCGTTATGGGGTCAAACCTCTATGAGCCTCAACGTAGATCATCCCCGCTATTCTACTATAACTAGAGAGCAAAGATGATAGGTACTGCGATATTAGGCATCTTTTGCTTTGAACTAGTCAACGTTGTTTCATAATAGTTTTCCCAAGGCCAAAAATTTCCACAATTTAAATTAGCTAGTAATAACATCTTCTGAATCATCAAAAGAGACAAATGTTTAGAATGGGGTGAAGAATTTTTTAGCATCAATTCTTCAAGATAAATTGTTAGGAATAAGTTAAGACTATTCTAGTGCACGTATGAACGGAACTAAAACCATGGGTAGGCGGTAGCAAGCTCATCTCATAGAATATCATCTTATACATCAGCTAAATAATACACAATGCATAACTTTATATAATAAATAGAGTGGGGAGCTTGTAGCACACAACAATCTGCATTTAAAAATAAACAAAAAAAAAAAAAAAGGAAAATGTTTGATTAACAGCTGATGCTATCTCACTTATGCACAAAGCAAAAGCCGGTTGACTATAGAGAATTCATTTAACCGGTTTTGAAAAACACCAAGCGTTCCATGGAAATAATTGGAGTTACTATACCTTAATCGGAACGAATTTTCAAGGCCAACTTTGGATCCAATTCCACCAAACTCTTTGAAAATTTATGGAGTCTCCAAAAAATCAAGCAAATATGCAAAGTATGATCTCAACTTGACTTAGATTTGTCAAGCAACAACTCCAGTCCTTGCCCGTCTTGCTGCTTCTTAACGAGTTTTGGATTTGAGTGAATAATTATAGTTTTCCAACGACCGGGAATTTCCACAATCCAAATTAGCTAACGTCTTTGACAATTATAAGAGACAAAGGTGAAGAATGGGGCATTAATGACTATTTCAACAATGTCCAATCCTTGTCGATGAACAACTAGTGTTTAATCAAATAGGCAATGCAAAATGAATGATGTGTGTGGAATTTATGGTTTTATTCATTGACTAACGTACCAAGAAAAATTTGAAAATTTCATGGAAATTTCGATCAAGAAAAATTACAGTCATTACTCAATAGTGTAGTCAGCTTGAGCAACAGACCAAGTGATCAAAGATTGCTAAATTAAACTTTTTTTTTTAGCATTGCAACGTTGCTAATTGTACAATTTCCAAACACCTACAGTAAAATCAAGAACGATTTCCCATAGAAGACCCCCGAGACCAGTTTTACGTGTGTTTGTTGTGCAGGAAACCCTCGGCCTAGCATCATTTGGACCGAGTCAGCCTTCATCCACATCTTCAGACCTTCGGCAAGGTCCCATTGTTTTCACCCGAAACACATAAATATAAAAGGATATAGTACTAGTTTAAATTCTTAATAAACTTGGAATGCAAATCAAGTGACAAACTTGTAATTAATCGTTTAACGAGTTTTTCCCTTGATTTGCATATTTCGTTTACTAGTATCAAAATTGACAAGGACCTTGTGCTCATATAAAAGAAAATTAATTTATCACAGGTAGTGAGCCGTCAAGAGAAAAAAGGTTATGAGTTTTTTTAAAAAACTTTTTTTTATGTAACTGGTGTCTAAAAAATGCGCATTTGTGAAATCCAATTATATGAGTATATGACTATCAATATCCTTTAGGTATGCAATTAATTCTTCCTAGCTATACAAACAATAGTCCCTTTAAAATTTCTCAGTCATCCATTTTTTATATTGTATATATGTCAGTTTCTGAAAATTTAAGATGCCATGGAAGTTGATTCACAGCCATCAGGAACACAAGCCAAAACATCTCTATAATCTCTAGATATCGTAAAGGAATCATAGACATTGCCGTCTCTGCTCTTCTTGTACTCGAAAAGTAGAGATGAATGGTTGAATGCAGTTAACTTCACAAATCCGAAATCATAGTCCTTGTAGATACTCCAAGTAGTATTCACTTCACTGAATTCTGATAAGTGACTTCCTCCACCACCTGCAACGACGTGGATGGTTCCGTTTACAATGCCTGAGTAATGAGACTTCTCCGATTTTACACATTGATTCTGCATCAATCAAGCAGGGAGAAATATCAGATAACTATAAAGGATATGTTACAAGAACAATAACAGTGCCATTGTGCCACCAACAGTAAATATTTATGAGATAAGGATTTACTTCTTCAGTTCTTCTCATCCAACAGTTAATATTTCTTTCAATTTTATATGTTCCATGATTAAACCTTTCAATCATAGTTGGGTAAAAGATATTCAATGTACATGTGAAGGATATAAAACCCATACCTGGTATATTGGGCACGACCTTTCATAGTTATGTACATGTCCGTAAAATGCAATATCAACTTTGTACCTCTGCCATAGCTTTTGAAGGCTTTCTCTACCCATTGGCTCTTCAAACGAGCCCTGTAGCCCATACCATTTGTCCGATGAATAACCAAGAACACGATGAGCAGCAAAGATGAGCCAAGGTTGCTTCTGCCTATCTGCTGTTGAAAGGCAGTGCTCAATGAATTTGTACTGCTCAGTTCCCTCCTTCCAGTCATGCTCACTGTCTGCTATGCAGAAGCGGAACATTCCATAGTCTACCTTATACCTAATAAAATATCATCATGAGTTCGTGAAATTTATAGGAGAAATTATAATATGAAAAACGTTTAACTGTCAGACTCAGTACTGAGCCGAATCTGGCATGAATAATTGTTACACTTGTAGCTAGCATTGTAGGTGTAATTCTACGCATGCATCATACTGAGTGCCTTGAACAAGCCAACTCATTACAGATTGGGTAGAGAGATGAAAACTTCTACTTTCAAACTGAATGCCGTTTTCCAAAGCTAGTAAGGTGCAGGTTTCAAGTTACATGATAGCATACTTTGTCATAGTTATAATGAAAGATGCTGAAGCTAAATTGGAAACTTGGATAAAAATTTACCAGAACTTATCCCTGTTCTCTGCTGGAACATAATACATGGTTTGTGTTGGCACACCACATTCTCCACCTGAATCAGTTTTGCCATAGAATGATCCAGTATCTGGCCAATCACGTTCATGATTACCACTGAGAAAAAAAGACAATATGACATGTTAATTGAGGAAATGGTATGAAGATTGTGTAAATTCATGTAGTGTCCCTCAGAAATGTATGTCCGATGTGATGCATCTCCACTAGCAAAGGTTTTATATTGATAACCCTTAATTACCATCTAATGATTATAGATATGTGTGGTAACCAAGTTAGGAAAACAAAAAAGTTTCTAAGGGTACATTAGCTTAATCTAAAAGGGAAGGAAATGCTGCGAGAAAGTGTAATAATGCAGACAACAACGCTGAAGAGAAGGGCTTAAAGACCTTGCAACCATGTACGGAACAGCTGATGCAATAGGTTCCACCTGAGAGGTGAATTGGTCCCATTGTGAGAGATATCCATTTGCATATGATAAATCTCCTATATGAAATACTATATCAAAGTTTTTTTTATCTTTGATGAGTTGGTCTGTAGTGTTGAGTGATCCTGGCTGATAGTTACTGTATTCATTCGATCCATCACGCTCTGCCTGAATTAGGTAGGAGACATAAAAAAATGTAATGCCTTCACAAATTTAATATTAAAATTAAAAGCATAAAAAGTAAACAGAAATATTAACAAAAACGGGAAAAACAGCAAAACTTCAAGACTCGATTTTGATATGTTTCCTTGAGTAGCATTACAAAGCTGATAATTTCTTCAAGTGCTAAAAACAAGTAGCGATGAAGTATTGTACTCTATCCGTCTCTAAAAGTTCTTTCTATTTTGACTTTTGTTGTGAGACAATCTGTCAGAGCATGAGAACTTTTAAAGATGGAGGGGAGCAGAACATTCTAATAATGCCACTCTTCTCATGACAGTAAGACTAAAAAATCTTTAAAATCTAATTGAAAAAAGACACTAAAAAGATAGAGAGGACAAAAAAGCAGGTAGCACACACGAGCATGAATTGAGCCTATAGATTCATAGTGAAAAAACCATTTAGCTACAATTCTGTCACAACAAGTATTGTGTCAAAGTTCTCATCTGACATTAGTATATAATCAATCAAGGTCATCAAGATTACAGGAATCATGAATGCTACATGCAAAATTATTCTAATTTGAAAGTCACTGTATGCAAGCCCAGCTGCAAAACACTTTGCCTCCCTTAACAATGGAATTAACTGAATAAAAGAATGAATCAGGGTCATTAAGAATAAAGTCAGTACGTAAGTGTAGAGTATGTTTACTTAAATCTTATTGACTTATTCACCTACGCAGCTATAACTAATACTTTGTATATCATGGGAAGCCTATTTAGGGCAATAGGTAAAAGCATGGGATGGTGTGGGCGGGTGTTATGCAAATATATGTCAAACCATGAGTACATATGAACCACTTTTCCAAAAATATTTATTGGTTGAGAAAGATCACAAAAAAGAAAGCTGTTATAGATAACTTACTGTGAAGGCCTAGTTTAATTGAAATAGAGTACATAGCATTACTGTTTGAAGAACAGTGCTTTTGCTAAACCATTATGGATGTAATTTATTAAGTGAAATATAGCATTCAGCTGGACAGCTGATCATTAAAGCATAAAAATATGAGAACATACTGGGAGTATGAACTCCTTGGGAAGAAATCAATGTCCCAGTTAGTGCAAAATGGACATACCTTCCCCATGTCGCCAAATACTATAACACGTTGCAATGAGTCTTGCCCAGGAGAAGGAGGAGCTTTGAATGAATATGTCTTACTCCAAACATATGAACCATTGGACAAGATATGGCCCATCCTGTACATGTATCTGAAGAATAATAGCCACAAGTATAAGGACCAAAGTCATGGATTAGATAATTATATCAAGTAAGATTCTTAGATGCTTACAGTTGATTTGGCCACAAATCCTTCAGGAAACTTGTATGTATAAAGCCCGGATGGCGCCAACCAACTGTCCTTGCAGGCGCACCTACAAGCAAGTTAAGTACAATAAGAAAAAAGCGTTGCCATTACAAGTGACACATAGGTTTATTGTTTAATTAAATAAAGGAAAAACTTAAACCATTTTAATCTAGGTTTGAAAATCACTAAGATCCAGATTGAAGTTTAAGGGAACTTGCAATATTGTACAATGTAAGCTTAGTGAACAGCAAGTGATAGATCTTCAGAATGCTCAGGATTCTCCATTCAGAAGATGTCAAACAAACTTGGGAATTTGATCCTAAGGCTGTCGGGATTAAATTCAATAATGCTGCCTTCAGAGAATATTTGTAACTTGATAAACAGTCCAGAATATGCTGCTAGAAGCAATAAGTTGATTCAATGGACAATGAACTGCAATCTTATGTGCAATTTAGTTCAGAGAGAAGCTATATCTGCTCATTCTTTGCAAATAGTCATTATGATGGGCACTCATGTGTACTTTGTTGAAAGCACTAAGCATCAACATTTATAGTGGTTCCCTTCAAGCACAACTCAGAAAGCTGGTCAATCCATTTTGATATTTGACCTCAAACCATTTCCTAGATAAGCTTGGTGTATAGTTATTTTCATCAGATTATAATCAATTTTGGAAAGAAAGTGAATCAAATTTCTTAGTAGGAAGTAAGAGAATAGAAAATGTTTTTGATGTGACGGATTATAAACCTTCAGAGATTAGCAAAGCAATTTATGTTGAAACTTTCCATCCGTGTCAAGATAAAAAATCATAGAAAGCAAGGAAATATGTGATCCCAAAGGTTAGTTAACCAGCTCAAACAATGTTTGAATCATGATATGCCACCTCAGTGGTACAATGCATTTTGAACGGAAGCCTCCTCATCAATAAAAATCAATCATGAGCCCAATGTTATGGATAGTGTTTACACACATTACATGTTGCAGTCCTCCATATCAGAGCACACTGTGTAATGCCGGTCACTTTTAAGGTAGTATAAAAGTCCTTTAGAGAGTGCCAAGATAAGCATCTAATTTGGTCATTCACATCCAGTAAAAGGGACTTATAATGTATGGAGTTTTTCTTCTTGGGATTGATTTTTAAGAAACTGAAGAGGAGGAGGGGGGGGGGGGGCAGCAGGAGATAGAAAGAGGAAAGAAACAGGTAGAAGAAAGTTGAGAGGGAGAGGGAAACAGCCAAACAGGTAGACAGAACAAGGAAACATTCCTTGGTGAGGCATGACAAGGTTCATTTAAGTGCAAAGATCAAATATTCAATTTGAAGGCAATGAAGTTCATCCAAGTCATGCTTCTTGATAAGAGGTTAAGATGCTCATTTCCAGATCGTAAGAAGGGAGGAAAGAGGATGTTTGTACAGTTAGATAATAATTGGGTCTGAAATCTAAACAAAGAATAGAGTAATGGAGCTGTGCACTTGAAAGTATACTGACACTTATGATTATCAGAATCACAACATGACAGTAGTTCAGCAATTAAACCTTTTTTTTGTTTTTTTGAGGAATCAGCAATCAAACCTTACCACATAAGGTGTTGCGCGTATATGTCAATGTTCCAGCTGGTGCTCGCTTTGGACTTGAGTCTAGAGGGCCCCACTGGACAAAAGGAACAGCCTCATCCATATTGTAGCCACTTGTCCAGCTTACAGTCATCTGCAGCACAAAGATTATACTTGTATTTATACATGAGACATTCACATCCAGAGAGAAAGTTCATTTCTCAATTCAACTAAAAAGAATGTAATGTGCTGGTGATGTTAATGCATTGCAACCAAACACCACTTTATATAAATGGCAAACATGACCTCAAATACAACAACAACAAAGACTTAGTCCCAAAATGATTTAGGTCGGCTAACTGAATCGTCATAAGGAACTGTATGATATACAGAAAGGGACATAACAAGATAACCAGAGTAACCCCAAATAACAGTAAAAAACTACAGCTGTTTAAATGAAAGTCAGCATGTCAACCAAAGTGCTGTATCATATTGCCTAGAGAAAAGAAAGAATAAGATCATACCCTCCATTACAATAAAATTGTTAACCCCTACGAGTAGTTTTCAAATTGTGTGAATGTTTGCTTTCCATAAGTCTGTTTATTAACCATTAATTTACAAATTTTTGTAATAGTATCATTATACTTGAGGCCTTGAGGGGCAGCCAATTTGTACTGGTACCTTACAATGTTGGTATAATTAATGCTTTAAATATCCCAACTCTATTTTTAGAAGCTGTTAAATAAAGAAACACCTAAAATGGAATGAGATGACTATTCTGGAAAATTGCAATGCTTAAGAATAATTGTTACACTGTGGCTTATGAGGACAACAGACTTACCTCATCCCATGACTTCCCTATAGCAAGACGTGGATAAAGTGGTGCTTTAGGGTTTGCAAATGTTACAGAATTTGAAACTGCCACCAGTTTGGGCTGCAGAGAAAAAGTATATCAGAGGCACTGATGAAGTGATACACAATAATGAGAACAGTAATTATTATAGATATCCAAATAAAGTAATTCCACTTACATTGGACAAGCCGCCTGAAAACAAAGCAAATGAGAAATCAGCACGTTGATTGATCAGCTGGAAACGCAGATTGGCTTTTCCATTGTTTGTGTAATCTGAGTTGGAGGTGTTTGCAAACATGTACTGAAATAATAAATTTAGTTCATAGCCAATCCAAGTGTGTTCATGAAGAAAATACATTTAGTTGAACAAAACAGCTTCTTTGCAGTATATTTACCTTTATTGGTGCTGAGCATAAATATGGTTTTTGATCTTTCAAATCAGTTTCTGAATAACAGGTTGATGAGCTTCAGAAGCAAGTAAGTTGTTAATTAGGATATTGTCCTTAAATTAAACAGCTTTGACCAAAAAAGTAAAAACTCGGTAGTGTATCAACAAAATTGAGGACATCATTCATGAGATGTGGCCAGAGTAAAGAAGAAATCATGCTGAAAACCGATAGTTTAACAAACATAACCAACAATATAGTCAGTATAAAGGCAGCAAGAGAGCATACTTGAACTTTGCAGGAGAGAAAACTCCAATCCAATCATCTGAAGACGGGTTTGGGGCCTGAAGGGTTACGTCCACCCATTCAGTGTCTTCACCCTACAATCAATAAACATATAACTAATGAATTTATGGCACATGAAACTAAACTGATGGAACCACTTCATAGCTTGAGAAGCTTATAGACTGATAAGTCTCAAAGTCCAACATTTTCACAAGTTTTAGGTCTCCTTTATTTCTTTCTCAATCTATAACTATAATTTCCAAATGTCCATGCATCGTCCATGAAATCTAAGCTTGGTAATGGATAATGCAATACAGGGCAGTCAATTTCTGAATGATGCAAATATATTAGATTCATTGTCATGCACTTTATAACACTTGATCACCTCTATGATAGCAGCACTATTGTTCTTTTCAATGAGCAAATTTTGTTTTAGGATGTATTATTTCCTACAGCTTAGATAGTATTCGAGCAAAAACAACTGTTCTCTGATAATGGCAATTCTTTATTCAATGCCACTATTTAACACCATTCAAACAATACTTCTATTATGGGATAAATCCAAAATAATCATAAAGTGAGAGTAATTCGACAAGATAGGTGAAACTTGGAATAAATCTAGTCAAATTTTCTTAACCATTGCTAGCTTGATCTGACTCTTCATTTTACCTACAGATACAGTGTTAGATTGTAGACACTAGCACATGCTTTTTCTTTTGTTTTTTTTTTTTTTTTTTTTTATCTCCTATGTGGTCGCGACTGCAGTAACAGTCACAGAACCACTTTTGTGAGCAATGCAGATGGTTTGCAGCCTAATTTATTGGTCATGGTAAACTCTAAACCTTTATATTGTGATCATGATGCGGTGAAGCAGCCAAGATTTAATATGTTTTAGTAATATAAACACTTGACACAAAGTTTGATACTGGGACACATAGTTACTTGACACAAAGTTTGATACTGGGACACATAGTTACACAAGAACCGAGTTCAGATAACAAATATCTATATTCCCAATGGAATAGTTCATCTGTGAGCCAAGTCAGCAAAATGCAGCCACATAGGGTTTGCTTAACAACTTTTGAAGGTAGTTTAGACAATTCAGCCAAAGTAAACAGCATAAATAAAGTACTTTAGTCTCTATAATCATTCAATTACAGGATGTCTTAGTTTTCATATTATTTTGTATAACAAACATTTTTTTAATAATAAAAAAGACGTTATCATTATTTCACCACTTTATTAGTCTTATAATATAATCAATAGAAAAATTGATAACAAAGTTGTCAACTTTAAACCGTTTATTTTAAAAGAGACGATAATCTTTCAGTAAAATTAACCATATGATTCATACTCCACATCAATATATCTCAAAAGTTTAATTAAAAAAAAAAAAAAGTATAATTAAAATATTAAAATAGTACCTTTAAACCCAGAAGAATCGGAGCAGCATTAATGGAGGCATGTGGATTAATAGCAAGAATAGTACTCAAAATATTAATTTTTGAAAGTGGTTGTTCACCAGAATCGGGTCTATGACCGGATCCAAGATAAACCCATGAATTCAAAATTATGAAAAGCTTCAAAATTAAAATACCCATCTTCATTTTTAACATTGAAATAGTATTCATTAGTTGAATTTATTACTCTTATTTTTATAGAAATATATCTTTTATTTTATTTGACAGAGGATTAAATATATCGTAAAGAGGGTTTTATGCTGAGATTAGAATTCTTTTGGTGATGACTGATGAGATAGAATTTGACTAAGAATCAAATAATCAAATTTCAGTTAAACTTTCATGAGCAGATAAACTTGCTTTTTTATTTTATTTTATTTTTTGAGGTGGGCTTTTCTTCTTTTATAGTGCTTTTAATTTTTATTAGAGTTCTTCCTTTGGGGAAAAGGGTAGAAATCGGTAAATGTGATCTCATTATTAAAATTTGATACTCTATTTCACTTGATCATCTCTATGATATTAACACTATTGCTTTTTTTTTTTTTTTTTTTTTTTTTTTTTTTTTTTTTTTTTTTTTTAAACACTATTGCTCTTTTCAATCAGTAAATTTGTTTTTGGCCTTTAGGGTATTATATAATTGTATTTCCTACGGCTTACAAAAGTAGTTCAGACAAAAACAAGAATTCTCTGATAACGGTAATTCTTTATTCAATGCTACTATATAACAGTAATAACACCATTTAAAGAATACCTCATCCAGATCATGGATCGATCCTAAATAGTCATAAAGTGAGAATAATTTGACAAGACATGTTAAACTTGAAATAGTTTTTGTCAAATTCCCTCATTGATTTCTACCAGTGTTAAGTCCTAGACACTAGCACATGGTTCTAATCTCAGATGCAGTAACAGTCACAGAACCATTGAACCAATTTTGTGGGCAATGGAGATGGTTTCCGGCTTAATAAATTTGTCACAGTTAGCTCATTCTTTACAATGCGATTGCAATGCAGTAAGCAGCTAAGATTTACGAGTAATATGCTCTAGCATGGATATTAACACTTGACACAAAATATATACTTTTTCTCTACTATATACACAAGACACCGAGGCCAATAATAAAATTCTCTACCATATCTATACTAATTCGGACTCTTCATTTCACCTCACGTCAGGCCCGACCCTGCCCGACCCTTACTCTGAACGGTCGATGTTGTTACCTACACCCCTTTAGGCATCATTGCCTACCCCTACAGTAAATTACCATAATACCTATAAGGCTATAACCCCTTCCCCGTTAGTTTCCTACATTTTCTCTCTCCTCTTATAAATCAGTTTTCTTCAAAAATTTACTAACATTTGAAATTTCTCCCTTCTCATAATTTTACCACTTTCTCTCTCCTCATAATTTTATTTACCACTCTCTCTTCTAAACTACCACAATCTTCTAAATATTTCTTGAAAAATAAATCAAAATACTCTTAGGTCTCTACTTGTAAAAGAAAAATCAAGAAATCGAAGAAAATTTCTCCAAAAGAATGACCATCAATCAAATTTAAGTTGATGATTTTGTTTATTTTTCGAAAAAAATATCAAACCCTAACTTCTTATTTGCCTTATTTTTCAATAATATGAAATTTCAATAGTAGTAGTTCATGATTTCTTATAATTTTACTTGGTAATAATGATTTCTTAGTATTATAGTATAATTGGACCTGGCAATCCTGACCTAGATCCGATGACCCGACCCATGACCCGATATCACCCCGAAACCAGTTACCCAAATTGACTCAAAACCCGAATTAACCCGACCCGACCCATACTCGACTTGAAGTGGAACTGACCCGACCTTGACCCGAAACCCGAAATAAACCAACTCGAAACGACCCGACCCGAGATGACCCGATCCAAAGTGGACCCGAGACCTGAAACAACCCGACCCAAAGTTGACCCGAGACCTAAAGTTGACCCGACCCGAAAATGACCCGACCTTTAACTTCTTTTAGTAAATAATTTATAAAAAGTTTATATTAGGAAATTATACATTAAAATAGGCCCAACAACATCTTACATGACTACATTGACTTTCATATAATAGCTACAAAAGATGGTCAAAGTGAGATGTGTGAATAATGTAAAATGTCAAATCGTTAAGAGTAATTTGGGACGGATGAGTATAAGAATAATTCAAAGAAATTATTAAAACAATGACAATGATAATAAGAGTACGTATTAAAACTAAGATCAATCAGTGAGTGAGGTATAACTCAATTAGTTAAAGCATCCCTCTTAGTTTTAGGAGATCCTGAAAGTGATTCTTAGTCTAAAGTTCTTAACACACACACACACACACAAAAAGGTTAATAAAAGCCAACCAATTACTATAATCCATAAAAAAAATAGCCTTAATAAATATAGTGAGTTTTCGTCAATAAATAAATAAATAAATATATGTACAGAGTTGAATTTAACCCAATGAATCACCAGAATATGACTCGACTAGAAGTTGACCCGATAATTGACCTGATCCGAACTGACCCGGCCCGAAAATTGACCTGACCCAAACTAACCCGACCCAAACTTTACCCAACCCGAACTTGACCCAAAGTATTGACCCGATACCCGACCCGACCCGATTAACAGTGGACCCGAAATCAAACTGAAACCCGAAATGACCCGACCTGACCCAAACTAGACCTGATAATCTTTTGACCCGAACTTGACCCGACCCGAACCGACCCAACCCATACCCGACCCGAGTGACCCATTTGTCGGGTCTAAGTATAATGATGTTTTATATACTCTATTTTAAGTTGATTTAACTTGTTGTGTGTTATTAGCCTATATAATGAATAATTTAATTTATTTCGTAAAATTATAGAAATTAAATTTAGTAATGGATTTTCTTTTAATGAAGGTTCATTTATATACTAGTATATGATCATTTACTTATTAATAAATAATCATTAGAATTCTTCACATATCTAATAAGAATTTCAATTAGAGTTTGTAGTTTTAATGGAAGTGATTCTTATTATAATAATTATATTATGTTACAAGAATTTTGCATAATTATATTATAATTTAATTAAAATTGTTATTCGGTGAAATTTGGCTAGTACATTTATTCTATCTTAAATTTTCATTTTAGATGGACTTTATGTTCATTTCTAGAAGAATTAATACTCAAATTATTACTGCAAAAAAAAAATAAAATAATAATAATAAATTTATAATAACTAAAATTAAAGACAAACTATCAATTTAATTTATGAAATTAAAGCATCAATTTTTATTTAATATTATTTATTTTGTTACTAAAAAGTGTTATTTGACTAATTTTGGCTAGTATCTATCATAAATGTTCCTTTTAGATGAAAAAAAATCATTTTAAATGCAGTCCATATTCATTCAGGGTCATTTTTCATATTAATTTATGTTCATTTAAATTTGATACATGTTCATTTTCTTTGCATTACATATTCATTATCATATGGAAAGATGTTCATTTGCATAATACAATATTTATTTTTATATCAAAGCATATTCATTAGTTTTATACTTTTTCATTCTCATATTAAAAGATATTTGTTTCAATTTTTAATACTTGTTTGCTATCATATATTGAAAATGCTTAATTAATTTTTTTTTTATTTGTTCATTCTCCTATTGAAGATGTTCATTTGACTTTCGGTGTATGTTCATTTTTATGTTGAAAGATATTCATTTAGATATTATATTTGTTCATTTTCTAGCAATGTGTTCAAATTTGTTTTTGTAAATGATTTAATTGTCAATTTGTCATATTTTGTTTAATGGAAGTGATTTAAATGTTCATTTAGAATACAATACATGTTCATTTAGATTTTATATATTTTCATTCTCATATATTGAAAGATTTTTACATCTTTATAGTGTGTTCATTTCTGAATTCTAATTGTTATTCATGCGTAAATGTTCAATTTTGAATCCTTAGATTTCACATACTTTTGTTTTGAATGTGTTGTTGTAGTTGTTATTATTATTATTATTATTATTATTATTATTATTATTATTATTTATTTTTTTATTTTTTATTTTTTTTTGAAAAAACTTGATCCTCAGTGTATATAGGATAATCAAGTAAGGAAGTTGAAGGGAACATATATATTGTGCTCAAATTATATTTTTCATGGAAAACACACAAGTATATCAGTATATGATTAGAGTTGCAACAAGGAGGATATATATATATATATATATATATATATATATATATATATATATATATATATATATATATATATATATATATATATATATATATATATATATATATATATGTATATAACAAACTTTATTCTATCAAATGTAACAAATAATGTTCATTTAGCAAGACACATATGTACATTTAGTTCAATTTCATGTTTATGGAACAATTACATGTAATAGTATAGCTGTATAGAAATGTGTTATCATTGTAATTAAATTAATATTAAATGGGAAATTATTTGTTAACAACGTTTTATCTAAATAAATAAAAATCTAAGACGTATGTATTTGCATACATACTATGAAACTTTTATAATTTTTTTTTTTAAAAATATGAAACTTATACGTAACTCTTAAAATGAACATTTGATGATACAAAAGTGAATATCTGTTGGAACACGGACAAACAAAAATAAACATTGGATTGCTCTCGTTTTTATTTATAAAAAATTCTTAAAATTCAATTCAAACATATATTAATTTGAACAAAAAACCACTTGTTATAAAATGAACATCTTATGATACACAAATGAACATTTATGAATACATAAATGAACATTTTATAAAATTTTGCAGAAAAACCTTAAATGAAAGGGGGCGGGAGCTGAACACGCGGAGGGTGGGGGTGCAGACAGTGTTCCGTGTCGTTGAAAATTTTACACTACACCCCGGTGTAGCTTCTGCTACCTACACCCCCCTCTCCAAGTGACGTCATTTTGTTCTTTTTGTGTTTACTTTCTTTTTTCCTTTTTTATTATATACCGTTGCAAGTTAATTCAATGTTTTGAGTTTCAATTCCATGTAAAAATTAGTGTACTCATATAAAATAAAGAGTGTGAAGAGATTTCCATGGTATCAATTATTATAAAGCAATTGATGACCCTATGTTTCAAAAAACTAAAAAAGCAATTAATGATCCTAACTCACAAGCAATCAACTCAATAAGCAAATTACAAGCCTATTCAAAGCAATTACAAACAAATTGCAGTTGTTATGGCAGCGGTGGTGGCGAGATGATGGTGGTTATGTGGCAGCGGTGATAGCGGCGTCAGCGAGACAACATTGGTCGTGGGGCAATGAGACAGCAATGGTTATTGTGGATTAATTAGTTGAGTGGGTTAGAGGGGGAAAGTGAAAAGGATTAAGAAACAGGAAAAATATAAAGAAGCTCAAATCACCATTGATAAAGCTTGCTTCTGATTTTAATGAGAAATGTATAGTTTTTAAATTTTTTTATAAACAGTATACTCGTATAATTTTATAATTGAACATATACTATTTTAAAAATGAACATATTTATTTAATAGTTAAATGAACATACAATTATTTATAATTGAGCATATAATTTTCCAAAATGAACATATTTATTTAATGGTTGTAAATGAACATATAATTATTTATAATTGAACATATAATATTTCAAAATTGAACATATTTATTTAATATTTGTAATTGAACATATAATATCTCAAAACTGGACATATTTATTTAATAGTTGTAAATGAACATACAATTATTTATAGTTGAACATTTAATTAAGGAGCATTACCATAGATGAAAAATGTATAAAATTTATAATTTTGTACTTGTTATTGAAAATTTTTGAAGGTAGCACAC